CATAATTATCTTTTCTTTAGCGCCACGGAGGGTGGCTAGGCCATGGTGGTTGCCCGTGAACAGGTAGGTGACACCGAGGGGAGGAGGCACGGCAATCGGCGGAGGCGAGGAGTGGGCAACGTCGTGGTAATATCTTCTCCAACCTCCCTTCTTGTATGCTACACCTAAATCTACCTGAATTCAGTTTTGTGGTCTCGTGAAAAATAGAGAACCGGTTCATCTATATATTTGTTTTTCCCAAAAAAAATTGTTTAATTGTTCTCTTTGGTAAATGCCAAACTATAATTAACCATGTTAGGATTATAATCAAGGTTTGTGGATGAAACACCAACAATCATTCAATATATCATGCGTGTGCTGTTTATTTAGGCCCAGCTTTCTGATGCATTATGCTTACCATACAACATACAGTGAAAATTAGACAAATAAAGAAAAATAAGTTGTTATTAAAAAGGTAAAATATGCAAAAGGAATCGTTAGCTCAACAAAATTATCATAATCCTCCTTGATGTGAAGCGAGCTCTAGTCAATATCGAGCACCAATAACTTATTTAATAAAATCTTTTATCTAATACATTGTTTTGTTTTTTAGAGAAAAGGCGATAATGCCTGACTTTAATAAATTAATAAAGCCACAAACATCCGAAAGATAAAAGATGCTGAACGAAACAGCTTAGAACAGGACGCACACTTCCTTTGATGATTTGAATTCAACTGGATCACATATCAACCGCTTATATTTAATGATATAATTTTCAAGTAATACAGAAAACTGCACGTGAACTTTATAGATAGGAGAAGAAAAGAACAGAAGCTATTACAAAGTTCAGAACGATTGCAACCGACCAACTCGGGACATGAAACAAATAAATCTGACTACAAAACAGAGGGCGAGGTTGGGACGGCCATAAGGCGAACCCAGCGAACCCCACCCATTATCATTTGTTCGCAGTAGCGTACTCAGATTCCCACCGTAAGCTATCTGACGGTCTCCAAGTTCTTGAGTTCAGGGGTCTGTTCAACATTCAATTAGCAAAACAAACATCGGACGGTTTACAAACATACTGGGAAACCATCAACGATGGCAGATATGCTTCTTGTTGTAAAGGTTCTTCTCCATGACAGCAGTGTGCCTACAAAAGTCAAATGTAGTGACCACTACCTACAGTCATAATCATCTCAGGCAACACTTTCAGTACTGAGAAGAGTAAGTACACCAGAGAAGCAATAATCATTGCATCATAGGAACCTCAAGCATACACAACCTCCAGCTAAAACAGGGCCATCACATTCTGTCATCTCATTTGTTTTAAAACTTTATTTTTGAAAAATCTGTTACCTCGATCTTGCAAGTATTATACTTCAAAAGACTCCTAGTATGCAGCACTAATGGGTCAACTTTGTACCTCTCTGGCTTAATATACCGCCTGGAATTTATCATATGATAATGAATTAATCCTGTCAAAAGTCATAATAGCTGCAGATAGGGAAAGTTGTGGCTGTGTGGTCAGGTTGCTACACCTCTTATGTGTAGACCATCTATTCTTGTATCAAAATCCGTGCATACAAAATTCTCTTTCTTGTTTCTCCCAAATAAGAAAACATTTGAACCTGAAACTTTGAAGGTCTACATTGCACAAGTACTACCATGTGCATATTTTTTCCGATTTTTTTATGCACGACATAAACATATAAAATGATAAAATTCATTCAAAAATTTAGTTTGACAAAATTGTGTTGCATAAGAAAAAACGGAAACAATTTATTCACAGAGTGGTACATGTGTGGTGTTGGGTCAAATGGTCTCTTATTTGAAGAAACAAAAAAATTATATGTAAAGATAGCACGGATCTTGATGTAAACTGGATAGCCTAGCAAGAAGATATAGCTATCTCATAGGATAGAAATTCCACACTCAGATATCAAATGGTGATATTGATATCATATTATCAATATTTATAATATGTGGCCACCACATATTTTAGACATGCCTTTTCTTCCATTGATTTTCAAACAATGTACTAAAAAAACTCTGTAAGAGAAAAGCCACAAAATTTTGTAAGAGTCATTTTATAAAGAGTTAAATACATCATGAGTGTCTAAACTTGTCCGTCGCGGTCGTTTAGTGCCTAAACTTGTAAAATACACAAAAATGGTGTTATAACTTGTCGCAAGGTGCATATACGGTGCCTCCATCCGTGTGCCACTGTATTTGCTCTCCGGGTGGCGTGATAACTGGCGGCTGGCCCACAGATCAGTGGATGAGCATTACCTGCACTGGGTGAAATGCATCCGATTTTTTTTTGCAGAAAATCTCGTGAGATTTAATTAAAGTCACAAATAAGCCATTGCTCTGTATGCTAACAACAGGAAGAAAATATACTGTGTCATTTAATTGGTTTCGACCCTGGGACCTCCAGGTTAAATAGCACGCACGCTAGACGCCAAGACTCTGCAATTTCCATTATAGTTTTTCAAGTTATTGTTTGGTTTTCACAATATATGTACAATTTCCAATATACAAATACAATAATTACAAATATGTGACTATTGTCTATTAAAATCTTTATTCTATTTTTATTATTTGTAGTTCGAAGAGGTAAACATAAACTGTTTGTAAAATTTATGTGGATTTCAAAAGTTCAACATATATTATAAAATATTGCGTAATTTTTTTGTATCTTCATTCAGGACCACAAGTACGGAGAATTATTTCATATCTTCATTGTATTTTTAGAATACATAATTATTAAAAAATCAACAAAGTTGTATTTTAAAAATTGTTCAATACGTTTTAAAAATGATTCTGTAAAAACAATAAATTCTATAAATGGGTTAAAACATATTAAACGTGTTTGTAGAAATGCAAGAATAATTTTACACAATAATTATTTTAATACATATTGAACATTTTATGAAATAGATGTTGTAATTTTTTTGAATGTGTGACGGGCATTTTTCAAATACACGTTTACAATTTCTTAATACAAGTGAGAAATGTTCCAAAAATATGTTGCTTTCGAGAAAAATGCACTAACACTTTTTAAGTTGATGGCAAGTAATATGTTGAGTTGTTCTCTTTTCTTCAAACGTGAGAATTTCTTAATAATTTTTTAAATTTTCTTTGAGTCAACCTTTTTCTTTTTTTCCTCTTTATTATTTTGTCCGATATCCCTAATAAATAGTAGTGTATCTGGGTATTGCACAGATAACTGTTCTTGGTGATATCAATGCAGTTTGGCATATTTAAATAAAATATCAGAAGTTTTTGTGAAAGATATTTAAAGTACAAGGAATATTCTGTAAAACAACCAGCATACTCCTCTCACACGAATTGACATGTGGGTCGACGCCATCTTGGCACAACATTTTTTTTAACATGTGGGCTGTGCATATGCCCAGATACGGACTGAGGCACCGTATTTGAATGTTCGAACAAGTTACTGCACCAATTTATTGTATTCTACTCCCTCTGTAAACTAATATAAAAACATTTAGATTACTAAAATAGTGATCTAAACGCTATTATATTAGTTTACGGAGGGAGTACAAATTTAGGCATCAAAGTGATCGCATCGAACAAGTTGAGTCACTCGTGATGTATTTAACTCTTTTATAAAATTCTTCGCAAAAGAAAACTCTTTTATAAAATTTAAGTTTGAAGTCAGTGTCTCATGCATCATGCCAATCAGTCGTAGCACAGAGTAAAGCCAAACTCGCTTGTCATCATGGCATCATCATCCAAAGTCATCGTGGCATCATTATCCACTATAAACTGACGGAACCGGCTCCTCTACCGCGCAGTGAGCCAGTGAGCACGGTAAGGATGCTACAGTACCCCTGCCTTTGGGCACCTGTCAGCTGTTAGATGCAGTATAAATGTTCAGATCTCTTTGCTACAGTGCGTAAACAGTTCACATGTTACAAGAACGGAAACAGTGCATCTTGCTACGGTGCACGAACAGTGGTTTTGGCTGCAGTGCGCCTGCCGTGCCTTCTGCGTTTACACTGCCCCGGTGTACTGTAGCATCCCTGACGTGTCCACTGCACGGCAAAGGAGCCGGTTAGCTAACGTCTCCGATTCAAGCACAACTTGTGCTGCCGTATATTTTACAGACTATTACTACACATTGCATAATTGGTAGATACGGACAGCTCTCTACCACCAAACGTAGACAGATGACTTTTGCGAATTTACGCATAACTCAAATAGATAGATTTCTTGTGAGAGAACCAGTTCATAAGTGACTCGCATTTTTCTGAATTTATTTTAATAATTCAAATGGTTCCTTCAGTAAGAGTTCTGTTGACCGCAAGATGCCCGCGGTGACTTCATCAATCTCAAAATGTTGTGACAGCTCAGTGTCCTCGGGGTGCTCATAGGATAGGGTGTGCGTGCGTGCATTCATGAGTGAGTGTATATAAGCATCTGTAATTGTACTATGTCCAAAAAAATAGATATATGACTTGTAATTAGCCCCCTAATGTTATCGAACATCAATATATTTTGGCCTATGCAAAATAAAGTGGATGCTTGTTTAAATTTATATACTACCCCTGTCTCAAAATGTCTGATGTTTTTGACACTATCACAGTGTTAAGTGTAAAAAATAATACCTTACATTTTAAAACAAAGGAGGTAGTAGATTAAAACTTGTTTCTTCTGAGAATAACATAATAGATCGAAACTTGTTACATGCAACTCTGGCCGACAAAAGATCAATTAGATAGCGGTGGCAATGCATCGTGACTTGATTACTTGTAGTTTTATATAAACAGAGTAATGCAATTTTGTTTTTGTAGGATATAATATAATGGATTGAAACTGTTACAAACAACTCTGGCCCACCAAAGATCAATTAGATGTTGATGGCAGTGCATTGTGCCTTATTTACCTCTTGTTTAATAACATTGTGAACCAAAATTTATTTTTTGCGAGGATTAATATAATACATTGAAACTTGTGACATGTAACCTAGACCGGCCGAAGGTCAATTAGATTAGATGCCAGTGGCAGAGTAGAGGTGCACCGGTAGGCGCGGCTCTGCATGGAGCACCAACGGCTTGGTTAGGAATAAATCATGCTCCGACTCGCTGAGATCAATGGCTGCTACCCCCTGCGGCTTGCTCCAAGTAAACCCTTGGATTAGCCGCCCGAAGAGCATCATGCACATGTCCGTCCCTAGCGATGATGCGATGCACCCACGGCGGCCGGTGCTAAAGGAGATGAACCGCAATTCATTCTCAGTGAGCACCACATCGCCGCCTTCAGCCATATTAATGTGGCGCTCTGGTTTGAAGAGAAGTGGCTCCTCCCAGATGACCGGGTTTCGACCAAGCCCGATGCGGCTGAGGATGACGTGGCTGCCCTTGGGCACATGGTAGCCGGCAACAGTGGTGTCATCGAGCGCAATGTGCGGCAGATTGAAGGGGGCGACAGGGTGCAGCCGAAACGCCTCGCGGATGCACGCTTTGGCATAGTTGAGTTGCGGGATGTCTGATTCCTGCACCAGCCGTTCTCGACCCACCACCCGGTCCATCTCCTCCACCGCCTTTGCCATCACCTCCGGTGCATTCGCCATCTCCGCCAGCGCCCACTCCACCGCGTTCGACGGATTGTCGGTGGCCGCTAATATTATGTCCTACACCATCGTCCCAACACATTAATTTGGAAGCCTTTTTGTTTTGCATGTATGCCCTTGTATATATAAAGTGTGGATAACCAACCATCGAGTGCGCTTTGACCTCTTCGATGGTGAGCGCCGGCTTCCCCTGAGCGTCTTTGAGCGTGATGAGCACGTCGAGAAAGTCGTCGAGCTCCCTTCTCTCGCCGGACTTCCACTGCCTCCATCGCTCGTCGATGACTGTGTCATGGAGCCGGTTCACCGTCGCGTTCGCCTCCTTGACCACCTTCTCGTGGCCATCCAGGTCGAGGCCGCGCAGCCACGGGAGGTAGTCTGAGACGCAGAACGCGAAGAGGAGCCCGAGGGACGTAAACACGGCGTCCATGTGCTCCTCCTCCATCAGGCCCGGCCCACCGTCCGGCCGAGGCTCACCGAAATACCGCCGGCCGAAGGCTAGCCGGCGGATGACGTTGCCGCAGTAGTGCCTCGCCACGTGCCTCACGTCCACGCCAGACGCAGACCCGGTGGCGAGGGTGTGGACGTAGCGGCTGAGGTTGTCGGCCTCATCGGCGCGCCGGTCGTGGAGCCACCGGTGGCGGGACGGGCAGACGATCTCCGAGGTGAGCACGCGGCGCATCTTCTTCCACTGGTCGCCGAAGGGCGAGAGCACGGCGTCCTTGTACCCGCCGCTGATGGTGCCGGAGGCGAAGGTGAGCGGGCGGGAGGCGAAGTTGGCATCCTGCGTCCTGAGTACCTCGCGGGCGATGCTGGGGCAGGTGATGGCGATGACGTGCACGCTGCCGAGGCGGACGCAGGTGATGTCGGTGCCCATGTCCTCCATCATCCGATGGATCCACCGGAATGCCGGCTTGCTGAGTAACATCTCGGGAAGGTTCCCCACTACCGGCCACGGCACCGGCCCTGGCGGGAGAGCCGGCGCCGACGCACCAACAATTCCGCTACGAGAACATGCGATCTTGCTCTTGGGACGCAGCACCAGCCTCCGTGGATCATGAGGGAGATGAATGCTAACACGAGCAGTGGCGCTAGCGCCTTGGCAGCTGCTGAGGAGATGAATGCCCATCTTCCCCGAAAGCTTTGCTTTTGCCTGCTTCCTAATGTAGCACCTCTTGTTGCCAAACGAGTTGAGCTTGGTGTGCTGCTATAGTTATGCATGAGTCCCTATATACTCCCTCTGTCCGAACAAGTTTGTCTCAAACTTGTCTCTCAAGTGGATGTATCTAGCACCAAATTAGTGCTAGATACATTTATTTAAGAAACAAACTTTTTCGGATGAAGTCATCTGACTATAGATGGAAAGCATCCATCAGCCCACCTGTGCACCGTAGCATGAGAGGAAGCAGGACGTACAATTTGCCTCCTAGGACCTGCGTGAGAGGACATAACGAGCGCTAATTCTGGATGGTTCGCTTCCCGTTAATTACAGGTTTTTTTGCATTAATCACGTCCAATTACTTTCCTTTTTTTAAACCTACGTCTAATTAGTTTCCTAACAACTTCTGATTTGCCCCCAGCAAACAAATATAATTCTATTTTTGTAGATGCATTTTTTTGCAAGGAAACAATTACGGTTTTTTTTGCATTAATCACGTCTAATTAGTTTCCTTTTTCTTGAAGCTACGTCTAATTAGTTTCCTAACTTATGATTTGCTTCCAACAAATATATCTCTATTTTTGCAGATGCATTTTTGTGCAAGGAAACATCTTCTCTTTTTAGATTGAGATGTGCTTTCAATAAACAAATACACAAAATAATTATTTCCGTGGGAAGTCTGGATAGAAGCATTACTTTTTGTCAATGGAAGCACACTTTCGCGTTGCAAACATATTATTCGATCATAGAAGCATACTTTTACAGTCTTGCTAAGTCTCAGTCGATGCTATATCCATAAGATCTTACATTGAGATCCGTGCAAAAAAATCTAGTTTTTTCTTTTTCTCTCTTGCATGTTATGTCACTTGATTGAGACTTGGTTAAATCTCAATCGACTGAGACCTAGCGACACCCTTTCTTTTATTGATGGAAGCACCATTTCACGTTGCGATGCAATTGTGCTTCTGTTGAGAAGACTATTTGCTTCCATCATATTACAATTGTGCTTATGTTCAGAAGAATATTTGCTTTGAATATGTGTCTATCGAAAAGAATATTTGCTTCTATCGAAAATGAGATTCAATTCTCTCTAGTCAAAAATCGCATCCAATGTTCAGCTACATTTTTTTACAATCATGCAAATTTTTATTTCCATCCACTAGAATTCAATAGAACATAAAGTTGCATCGGGCAAACATAAAAATTCTGCTTCTATATTTGATTACTTATATTTCCAAGGAAATGAAAAATTACAATCACAATTTAGAGTGAGCCTGAACCAGTTCAAGCAACATCTTTCCGAGCTTCTTCTGGTTGAATTCACCCTCTCCCCTATTGTAGCTCCGATGATGTTCAGCAGGTGCCGCCGTGAACTGCACTTCAGCTGCCGCATACCACCAAACATAGCCTCCACTGGAAATACAGAAAGGGTACGATGTCTTCTCAAGATAGTTGTATGGAAGCAAGATAATAGAAATAAGAAAGTTTATTCGTTGAACAAGCTATTTGTTGAACACGGCACGAGAAATTGCAGGAAGCATTAAATTATGGGAACCCAACATAACATATCTTTGTATGAAGCAGAGATCATTGATAATATATAATAAACTGTTTGGCACAAACAAGAGGATGCGTCTCTTATGTCGCCAACATACAAATTGAACCTATTATCGGTTGATGAATGGAAGCATTTTTCTTGTGAGACAGAACCAAATGATTACAATGTAGAAGAACCCTGGTGAGAAGCATGCAAAAGTGCACTGGTTACATAGGTAGTGTTATTTGGAAGCATGAAATTTTAAAAATGGAGGCATATTTATGAAAGTAACACATGGTTTGGTAAGTAACAAGAAGCATGAAAACATGGGAACTCAACACAACTGGTCATGTTATGAAGCATAAAAATTTGATAATGAATAATCAAATAAATCTTGCTAGCAACATGAGAATGCATCTGTGTCGGCAACATTCTAAAAGAAAGGATTTTTCAGTTGATAAATGCAAGCATTTTTAATAATCAACAACTGCATTTGTCTGTGCTTCTTACCTTGGTGCTTCTACATTTTAAGCATTTTCTAAGCGATCAAAACAAAGTGCTTACAATGTAGAAGCACCAAGGTAAGCAGTACAAAAAAATGATGTTGGTTCATTATTATTGATAGGTTGAAGCATGAAAGTTTGAAAAATGAAACAAAGAAAATTGGCACCAATTGTGGAGGCGTTTTTGTGGACGCTCCATATACAAGAAGCAATGGAAGGTTGTTTACTCAACAATTCTCATCTACGTTGGAAGCATTGAAAATTGAAACCGGGATTGACTACAACTGTCTGCCTACATTGGTATGGATGATTGGCGACCTAAATAATCCAACAACCAAATTGTTAAATGAAAAAATAACTAATACATGAACAAAACAATTTAGCAAACAAGGAACATACTCATCAAACAGTACATTACATATAAAATTGCAATTTGCCAATTACAAATCATAAAATTGAGGCCAGCCGATGAAGTGTGATACCTTCTATTCCGAGATTGGGCCCTTCGACAAGGGAGAAAATGCCGCTTGGGAGGGGGGCGCACCACAGCTGCAGCCGGTTCAAACCTACCAAAGCACCAACCACCGAAGAGATGGGGGGCTTGACTCCCTAATGTTAGGAAGGTGCACCTGCGATGTGACCTGAGGGCAGTCCGGTGGCCGCACCGGTGGAGAGCCACCTTGGGGTCGCACCGAGGAGCATGCAACGGATTTGGCGGTGGGGTAGTTGTGTGCTCGACGACGAGGTGACGAGGAATCAAGCGATGTGCGGCGATCGGAGAGTTCGAGGCGATGTGCTTCACGGCGAGCTCAGGGGTGACGAGGAAGCATGCGATGAGCGGCACAATTTGAGAGGTCGGGTCGATGCGCTTCACAGCGAGCTCAGGGGCGGCGCGTGCAAGACAAGATGGCGAGGGTATTTGGGCGAGTAACTAGGGGGGAGGGGGGTACGGGCCATTAAGTTGTTTCTACACCGTGAGATCCGACGAGAATTCATGGTATCAGTCTGTCTGAAGATTTGCTTGGAGTCAGACTACTGATTGGAAGTGTTTCCCTATGTAGTATTCCTACGTGTGTTGCTTGCTTAGGCCATATACAATGCAAGATGCTTAAAAATGGTAGTGCTAAAAAGATGATGTCAGATTTTTTTTAAGGATGGCAAACGTTTTTGTGGCACATCCAGTTAGCGTGAGATGGCAAATTTAGTTTACGAGCATGGCAATTCCTGGCAAAAAAAATGAAATGAGGAGGATTGGCCATGCTTGCCAACTGAACCTAATTACCATCCGCGACAAACACAAACTGTCATAAAAAATGTTTGATTTGTCATGGTAAAAAAATCTGACGTCAGATTTGAAGTGGCTTACTGAGGTACCTCTATTGTAGAAATAAGCATTGGTCACTCCGGGAAAAACATTGTAAAGGCCCATATATACTCGACACACCGTATGTCGAGTGTAACACTCGGTATCAAGCATTAGGCATACCCCTGACCAGCTCCCCCCGCATCATGACTCCGTCAACTGCATCCGCAAGGAACACGTGGTGAAACTTTTTCGAGTACCATTTGTTTGCCAAGTGTTTTTTCGGGTTTGTGCCAAGTACCACGGTTTTTCCGAGTGCATTACCCAAGGTGCAGGTTGTTGTATGCCGAGTATTTTCTAGATGCCGAGCGTTTTAGGGTGGTGCTTGGCATACTGGCCGCTCGTATGCCGAGTATCCCGTGAAAGAACACTAGACATTCAAGAGGTACGGGAAAATATCTGGTGCACCGGTGCACCGAACTCAAGTCGCACATTTTAAATATTTGAAAAATTCTAGAAAAAAATGAAGCACATTGACACAACATTAATGTAGATTGTCACAAAATTTCAAGTCAAAATTCGAAACACAGCTCCTAAAACAAAAATGACAAATTCAACACTGATAGTACATAACATAAGTTGGGCTTTAGATTTGGCCCATTATCACACTGGTGTCAATTTTGTATTTCAAAAAATATTTTAAATTTTGATACAAAATTTTGTGGCGACATACATTGATGTTGTGTCAATGTGCTTAAATTTTTTTAGATTTTTTAAAATGTTGGTAGCGCCACAAGTGTTGGTGCACCGGATACGTTCCCCCAAGAGGTACTCGTCATAGACCGTTTTTCCTGTAGTGGGTGCTTAAGCAAAAAAGTCAGTTTATTTTTGCAAGCACTTCTATTATAGCTGGATAGTTCCGTGCATG